GAATGAGTACCTGCAGGTTGTCATCAGGCGAGTGGGTAGCAAGATTGATAGTGGTGATTTCTCAAGTCAGACTCAAGGGTGGTTTGGGAATAAAGCTTGTTACTGGGTCACATAGTGTTTAAACAGCCAGTGCTCTACTGTTTCTCAGAGAAGGGCCTCAACCATTCAACCACATTGTGGGGGTGCTGTGAGTATAAGATGCTGACCCAGAGTTAACTTGTTTGTTCTCTTTTCATTAGACTCACAGTAGCCACCACAGCTCTCAGACAGATTGGCCACCCTTTGGCAATTGTGGTCAAATTGTTTGGTCAGGTATGCCACAGGTCATTTCCATGGCCCTAAAGTTCTGGTAAAAATCCTTTTATAATGTGTTTTGTTTGTGAACAGATGAAATAGTTTTGAGATATCTGGATGTTATAGGACTGACAGAAAAGTTAGGGTTGTTTTTATAGCCTGTTTTTAATGCCTTTTGTTTAGTCTCGGTATAGATTAGGGTCTCAGTGTCCCCATTATCCTGACATATAGAGGCCTTGCTGTTCCTACAAACTCTGGTATCCAGAGGCAGCAATAACTAGCTGTACATATGTACTCTCAAAACTGTCTCCTTGTCTTTGGTGTTGGGTTCTGAATAATAGCAGAAATGCTACTCTGAAACAGGTTCCTCTCAGCTCTTAGACAAGACAGGTAGCCTATGATGCACACAGTTGGTCTTTCTTAAACAATATTGTATACCCCAAGGTCTGTGTTTCTTGCATCAATCCTCTATGTCCCTTTTTAATTTACTTTCTGAGAAACCTCTGAAGGAATGGAATGAAGTTAGCATTTATTGTCTCATCAAACAGGGTTAGTGAATTTTTAAGACTCTTGGGAAAGTTGTTCCATATATGTTTCATGCTGTAACCTCCCTCTGTGTCTGTCCATTTCAAAGCAAAGATGGGTTGACTCATTTATACCAATGGGAGGTTGAAAACTTAATCTTTCACATCTGAGACTGTATATACCTGTTTTTCTGGAAGAGTCAGACCCATGAGAATCAGACATCCCAGTTTTCTTCATAGGCAGAAGAGCTGTATTCCAGAATGCCTGGCAGGGTTCCAGGATGCCTATCAGTCCAAGTCAGGAAATATGGACTACAGTTTTCCTTTTTGTTTACAGGATCATTGGGTATTTAATCTGCACTGTAGTAGCTGAACTGATTAGTTGAACAGTTATAGAAATTCAGAGTTGGGCCAGTCCTGGCAGCTTGATTTCTGCCCATGCACCAGGAAATTTTTCTTGCCCTGATCAGTTCTCTGATGTTAAACACCTTTTGAGATAACTTCAGTAATTGGGATCTACTTTTATCTTAATATTTTTCTAACTTTTATAACATTTTCCTAATATCTTTGGCTAACTGGGTAGCAAAAGGAATCTTTTTAACAGATGTCTTTAATCCTTATAAAAAGGACCTAGTGAAAATTGTTAGAATTCCTTGGTCTGTATTTAACAGAAGGGAAAATAAATATTACCCACACTGTATTTTCCAGAAGCAATACCCCTAACCCATTTCTCATCTGATTTTCTACTTTTTCTCAGAGAATAGGGTGGTGCAATGGTGGTGAGTTTTCCAATTTTTCTTGGTCATTAGTTGAAAAGGAAACATAAATCATTAAAAAGGAAAGACTGGAACTTCTTTTTTCCTTCTTTGTGACTGCCTACAGCTTGTGGGAAAATTAAGGGAATGTTTAACTTGCCCATATCCTCACAAAACGATGACTCTCACTCTCCTAGAAACTGTCCACGGCCAATAGCTTTTCAGCTAGTGATGGATCCAGGAAGTCATCTGCCCCATATATGATGGAACTTTGGTCTTGTGTAAATAACCAGAGCTGCTGAGTTCCTGATTCTGGTGTCCATGTCATGTCTAAAAGAAAACATTTCACAGCATTCCTCCCCACCCACAGACTCTCACATTCTTGTCACCTCCTCTTTCACCACATTTTCTGAGCATTAGTGTGGTGGGGTTAATGCAGATGCTGCATTTAGTGCTGAGAACCCAGTTTCATTGCCAAAATTTAGACAAGTTATGACTCTCTCCATTGGCTGCTAAGAGTTGAAAAAAAAAAGAAGCTTCTGTGACCAAGGTTGACAACATCCAAGAGTAAGCATAAGTAATAAGAAGATAATTTGTAGCATGGCCATTTGATGTTTTACTTTTTTTGAGCATTTTTTAAAATATATTTTTTCATTTTTATTTTTCATGCATATAAGATTTTTTTCACCTGCATATATGTTTGTGCACCATGTGTCTGCCTGGAACCACATAGGCTATATAAGAGGGCTTTGGATACTCTGAGATTAAAGTTATAGATGGTTGTGAGCTACCATGTCAGTGCTGGGAATTGAATTCAGGACCTCTGGAAGAGCAGCCAGTGCTCTTAACCACTGAGCAATCTCTGCATCCTCCTACCTTGACCACTTCTACAGCTTCCTCACCAGCTTCTTGTCCTCTTCTATCATTTGTGCAGCTTGTTGGATCTTCAGGTAGTGTTGGCACAAAAGAGGACTTTCTTTTTTTGTTGTTGTTAAAACAAAATTATCATCACTGGGCCTCATCAAAACTCCTCTCAGCTACCGTGCTGTTTCCCTGAGTCATGAAGATTCTCCAGTTATCATTCTATAGGACAGGTCCCTTTGCACACTCCAGGACTACTCTGGGACAACTTTTAGGGTAGGTCAACCTAAGGGCCAAGATATGGGTCTAGATCATACCTGAGCTAGTAGGTCTGAGTCACTGTGCTTATACCCTAGGCAAAGGGCAGAACCAGAGACCCATGCCATCAGGGCCAATTTTCCCATGCCTCTCTTGAGTGGTGAGGCCAGCTCTCCCAAATGCTGGAGTTACCTCTCCCATGGGGGTAGACTGGCACCAGCTCTCTTTCTGCAGTGAGGGACAGAGCTGGCTCAGCACAGCCCTTAGATTTCAACAATCATGGTTGCTATGACCTGCTGTGGCAACATGAGCCATA